TATATATATATATATTTAAAAATAGAAAAAATTAAAAATCAAAGTAATTGGTAGCTTTTGTGACAATGATTATATATGCCCAGTACATGCCTTATTCTTAAAGACTCCTTTCCTATATGCTGAGTCATTTTGTGGTTCAGAGAAATCAAGACCTTATTCACAAAGAAAAGCAGTGTATAAACGAATTTTTTTCCACCTAATTGAAATGTTGACTGTAGCTATGTTAAACTTTATGACTGGAAATTACAAAGTCAACTCTGCTCACAGTGACTCATGATTGAAATCCCAGCCCTCAGGAGGCTGAGAAAAGTTACCCCGAGGAAAGTTACCCCAAGTTCTAGGCTGTCCTAAGTTACAGGAAGTTCTAGCGTGGTTTGAGGTCCACTGTGAGAGCCTGTCTCATAAAAAAAGAGAAATCGCACAAGTGCCTTGGTGTGCGGTGAACAGCAACACAGTCAGTCTGACTTGGCTGTTGGGAGTTACTGGAATGCCTAGCAACTGTAGAGACAGCGCATCCCACCAGCTGGCAGCAGCCCGAGGTTCTCCAGAGGAGCGCCATGATCAATGTCTGAGAGCCTCAGCACTCCCAAGCGGCCAGCCAACCGCCACAGGCCTATTACAACCAGAAGCACTGTTTCCCGTCAGAGGAGGATGGTGTGTGAGTTAATGACTGCACTGAGCAGCTGTACTTTGGAATCAGTTGTTTTACTTCTGAAAGCACATAACTATGGAATATTTTCTAAATTTTTTTTAAACTAGAGAGAAGCAACTAATTTCTGTAGCAACACCTGAAGATATTTTATTCTATCGTGACCATTTTTACCTATTGTGAATATAAATGAATTAGATTACATGCCATATCTTTGGATACATCTCAGAGGGTCGCAGGCAACAGCAAGCCAAAATTACCAAATATAAAATTTTGCACCTGGGGGAATGTTCATGTTCTAAATAAGGAATTAGATTACAGTTTTTTGTGTGTTTTTTTAAATTCATACTGCAGGCTGTTTTATGTGATTTTTCTACAAGTGTTAAATATATTACAACAGTTTTTTTCTTACCAGTGAATAACTTGAATAACACTGGTCTGTTTGACTCTACACTACCCGTGTCTGCAGAAACTGACCCATGGGGGTCACCTTACTTTTGTTGTGTGTTTTTTTCATTTTCTTTATATTTTTATTAGCTTTTTCTGTCTCAATGCACAGGGGATGTTTTATATGTGAGGCTTCAGTTGATATTAGTAGGAGTTACCCTCCTAATTCCCAGTCATTGATGAGTAAGTTATTGGTTCCGATGGTTGAAGTGTAAACAAGAGCTAAATTGAGCCTACTGTGGACATACGTGCGCCACATGCACACGCATAGACACAGTAAAAGTACTGTGTGTGATATGAAATGTGAACAGTGCATAAGGACAAACACAGTTAAAATAAAATGTTTTCCTGCATTAACAGACAACTTTCTTTGTGAATCAGAGCAAAAATGTCTCTAGGGAAAAGAGTTCTTCATTTAAAGCCATTGCTGTGAACACCTTTCCAAGAGTAATAATAATTACACAGTTCTAGAACTGTAACAGATTAAGGAACTATGGGAAAGGCAAAAACTTCAGGCTTGCACAGGT